TTGGCTGCTTGCTGCAGTGCCTTCGGGCACAGCTCAGTGCAATTGAGCACGAGAGCATTATTCATGTGCTTAAATGGCTTTTTGTGCTGATGCTCACCATGGCTGTTGCCTTCACACAGTGTTTTTTGGGCTATGTGCCACCGCCAGGGCTGAGACATTTCTGAGAGATCAGGCAGCCCAGTGGGGCGTATAAATTCAGTCCCCCTCTTAGCAGTGGTGGGACGGTGGAGGCTCAGAAGGCACCACGTGTTTTTCCATTCCTCTCATGGTTGTCCTATGTGTGGCCGTTTGTTCCATCACCTCCAGCCACAGGCTTCCTCCTGCACTCCATTACTCAGCTTGGCACTGGGTTGGGGGAAAAAGGGTGCTTTAGGGTTTGGTTTCAGGTTTAGAGAATTTAGGATCCTCATTCCATGCCCTCCTGTCCTTGGGCACGTCGCTGGAGGCTCAGCTTTGCCTTTGGCACACACCTGGGATGGATTTCTGATTGATTGCCTTTTGGTTTCCCCCCAGCATGCCCAGAGGGTTTCTATGGGATGGGCTGCTACCAACGCTGCCTGTGCCAGAATGGGGGGACGTGTGACCCCGCCACGGGGCACTGCACCTGCCCAATGGGATGGACCGGGCTGGCCTGCGAGCTGGGTAAGGACACTGCCAACAGCATCAGGACATGGGCTCTGCCACCAGCCGGTCCCATTTTGGGGTGGTTTGCCCTTGGAGTGACAGCTCTGCCTTTTGCTCTCTCCTAGCGTGCGCTGACGGGCATGGGGAGGGCTGTGGGCAGCGCTGTGCCTGCCTGAACGGGGGGGTCTGTGACCTGCAGGGACAGTGCCAGTGCCCACCTGGGTGGAGTGGGAGCATCTGTGAGAGCCGTGAGTAGGGGGGGTGGGATGTGGGGGTGCGGGAGCGGGGCCTGCTCAGTGCAGAGCTGAACGGCTGGATTGCAGCAGCTGGGAGGCTCGGGGGTGCCATGGTCAGGGGGGGGGTACCATGGCTTTGTGGTAAGTGCCGTGGTTTTGGGATGGGTGCTGTGGTTTTAAGGTAAAGATACAATTTCACGAGGGCTGAAAAGAGTTTGGGTTTGAGCTCCTGCTCTTACCCAAAGCTTTTCCCCATCCCCACACACCCTCACTGCTTTGCATAGACCAGCTTTGAGAGTTGCTCTGGTGGTGCATTCATTTCTGGAGCAGACATGAGAGCTGAACTCCCAGATTTTTGCAGCTGTAGTGCTGACTTCTGGCTCATGTTGGTACTGCAGATACTTGGTTTGCAGCAGCTTTAGGTGTTTCTGCGACAACAGCAGTGAAGAAATTGCAGCCATGTGTTCTGCCAGCACCCAGATCTTCTTAAAACAGTGCTTAACCCAAAAGCCCTTCCAAAAACCTTTGGTGCAGTTAAGATGACTCTTGCACACCAACTTGTGCGCGAGTCTGTTCGCAGAAGGGCTTAGTCGTTCAGCTATCACACATGCAGTGAAAGGAGCCCCTTTTTTATTCCCTAACTTGTCATTTCTCCCCTGCTTGCACCCCAAGCCTGTCCGGAGGGGTACTTTGGTGCAGGCTGCCAGGAGCACTGTGACTGCAGGGACAAAGGGCTGTGCCACCCCATCACCGGTGCCTGCCACTGCTCCCCCGGATGGAGGGGCCAGCGCTGCGACAAAGGTGAGACTGCATTGGGTTGGGGTTTTGGCTGCTGCGGGTTAGGGAGGGCCTGCCATGTCTCTCCTGTCCCCACAGCCTGCCTGCCCGGAGTGTTTGGGAAGAGCTGTGCTGAACGCTGTGCCTGCCCCCCTGGAGCACCCTGTGACCACATCACCGGGCAGTGCAGCTGCCCGCCAGGCTTCACCGGAGCTGCATGCGAGACACGTGGGTACCCACAGCATCAGGGATCATTCCACGGGCACTGGAATGGGCAGAGGGGTGTGAGCACGTTGCTGAGCCAGGGGACGGGGGTGGGTTTGCAGTGTCAGGGAGTTCTGCAGAAACACAATGCCCTTCTCCATGCAGCCTGCCCGCCCGGCACTTTTGGGGAGCGCTGCGCCCAACGCTGCCGTTGTGCAGGACCCAACCAGGACTGCCACCCCATCACCGGTGCCTGCATCTGTGCACCAGGCCACCACGGGCCTGACTGCGAGCTGGGTGAGCCCATAGCTCCAGGTTGGTGGATGCCTTGCTCTCGCCTCGCTGGGCACCATGCAATCATTGCTTTGCTGTGCAGAGTGCCCTGTGGGCTGGTACGGCCCTGGCTGTGAGCGGCCATGTGAGTGCAAGAATGGGGCCTGGTGTGAGTGCACCACGGGGACGTGCCACTGCCCAGCAGGATACATTGGTGCTGACTGCAGCGTTGGTGAGTGTATGGGAATGGGGGGGGGAATGGCAGCATGGTGATGGCTCCTGGTCTCCCTGCTTTGGTATACGCTGTGGGAGGGCAGCTGCAGCTGATCTCATTTGCTGTCTTAGCACTGGAAACACCGTCTTGCACCATTTGTTGAGTGCCAAAATGATGTCCCCATGACACATCATCAGCTTTTGCGTCGTGCCATCTGGGTATGGCTGCCTCTCTGCTTTTCTGGCAGAGGGAAGTGCAAAAGCTCTGCCCTGCAAGCACAGCCTGCAGGCACTGCAGTGATGAAGGCAGCTGAAGGTGTCCCTCCCACCAGTGTGTCCCAGCGGCCGCTATGGTGCAGACTGTGCACAGCTGTGTGCCTGCGGGGAGGGGGCCACGTGCCACCACGTCACCGGGGACTGCCTGTGCCCACCGGGAAGAGTTGGTCCCACTTGTGAGCAAGGTAACTGCGAGCTGCAGGGCACCTGCAGGGCACCCTGGCACCCTCCTGTCCCAGGAGGTCACCTGTTTCCTGCTGTACCCAGCACTGTGCCCTTGTCCTGCAGGCTGCCAACCACAGCAGTACGGGCTGGGCTGCCAGCAGTCTTGCTCCTGCCGGAATGGAGGGCTGTGCAATGCCACCGATGGGTCCTGCACCTGCGGGCTGGGATGGACTGGGAAATCCTGCGAGTTAGGTAAAGCTGCTCCATGCACACAGCCCAGCCTGCTTGGTGGCTCGCTGCCCGCTGAGCTGCCCTGCTGTGCCCCACAGAGTGCCCACCTGGGAGCTTTGGTGCTGACTGCCAGCTGCGCTGTGCCTGCAGGCACAATGGCACCTGCGACCGCATCACTGGCGCCTGCCGATGCCCCCCGGGACGTTATGGGGCCCTGTGTGAGCACGGTGAGCTGGGGGGGTGGGCAGGTGCAGGGGGCCCGTGTGTGCTGCTCCCTGTAACTGAGCAGATGCCACATGGGCATGTTTCAGAGAGGACAGCTCTGTGCTTCTCTCTGGATGCTCCCTTCCAGGTTGTCCCCCGGGTTTCCATGGGACCGACTGCCAGCAGCACTGTGACTGTGCCCATGGAGCTGCCTGTGACCCGGCCACCGGCCACTGCCACTGCCCTGTGGGGCTGCGGGGTCCCCGCTGCCAGGAAGGTACTGCGCCCCCAGCCCCTCTGTTGTGGTGCCTCAGAGCCATTTGGCACAGCTGTGCCCCTCTCCTGTCCCAAACCAGGCTGCGAGGAGGGGATGTATGGTGAGGGATGCCAGCAGCGCTGTGACTGCGTGGGGAACGCGCCCTGTGACCCCATCACGGGGCTCTGCCTCTGTCCTCCAGGAACAACCGGCCCCAAGTGTGACTCAGGTGAGGATGGGCAATGAGGTGAGCAGGGAAATGAAAGGAAGGTGGGGGGGTGGATCAAAATACAGCCCTCAGATGGGTGCAAACATGCCTTGTTGGAGCTGATGTCTCATGGAAGAGCACTGTTCTGTGTGCATCCCATTGGAGAGAAGATCTTACCCAGACCAGAGCCCGCCCTGCCATGTTGGGGTAGCGCAGCCATCTGATCCCCTCTGCCCCACAGAGTGTCCTGTGAGCCGCTATGGCCCCGACTGTGCCCTCACCTGCACCTGTGCCAGCAGCTCCCAGTGCAGTGCCAGGACTGGCCGCTGTCGCTGCCACCGCGGCTCCATGGGCTCCTCGTGCCAGGAAGGTGAGCCCAGCCCTGTGCTGCGCCGGCCCTGGGTGCTGCCTGCAGCACAGGGGCTGAGTGCTGTCCCCTTCTGCTCCAGCTGTGCCCGCCCAGATGCCCACCAGGTCCCCAGAGCTGCAGGGGATGGAGCGCTACGTCCTGCCTCAGCCACAGGGCCCTGCAGAAGCACACGACCCAGCTGGAGGACTTGTTCCCAAGGCACTCGAGTGACAACCAACTCATAGCAGATGGGAGCTGGCTGCTGCCTGGGCTGGATAAGGGCTGTAGGACTGCTCTGCAGCTGCTGGCCCTCACTTCTGGCCGTTGGCTGCTGGGGTTGGAGGGGAAGGGGTGATATGATGCTTGAAAATAGGTATTTATTCAAAAATATTTATGGCAAGCTCTACCACAGCAGTGCAGGAGCTCTGCAGAGCTGCCACCTGGAGGGGAAAGAGCTGATCAAGAACCTGCAGCACCCAATCCAGACATGGACACGTTGGCACAAAGCTGTGGGTGCCCGCAGCCCTGCAGTGGTGGTGGTGCAGCACCTGGTCCTGAGTGCACAGGGATGGCCCCATCCCTCAGGGGCCAAAGAACTGCTTCCTTTCCGGGTGGACTTTCTTTTAATCTGTAAATAACTTGTACTTTTTTTTTTACTAATTAATTTTTTCTTACTTCTTCCTTTTTTTTTTCTTTTTTTTTTTTTTTTTTTTTGCATTAGATGTGAAGAAATAATGTTAAAATAAGCACGTAGTGAAGGACCAAACTCGTATAACTGAGGTTGGGTATGAGCAGGAAGCAGGGAGGAAGGAGAGGTGGTGATGTGCCAAACACCCATGGGCTCCTGCTGTTCTTGGTGCCTATTCTCCACCCACTCAGGGCTGTGTGCTGTTGGCACGCACCTGAGCTTTCTATTTATTTCCTTGGTGGGCTGGAAAGCCTCTGAGCATGGTGCCTTTCTGAGCAGGGAATGCAGAAACTCCATTGTTCAGATCATGGTTGTTTTTTACTGGTTTTGTCTCTTAATACACCTTGCTGCTTCTTTTCACGTAGCATTTCTCTCTCTCTTAGCCTCTTGTCTCCTTTAATTTAACACCCATTTAGCACAGTTCTCATTCTTCCACAGTTGATAGAAATAAACAGACAGCCTCATTGAACTTCTTTTTGCCTTGTCTCTTCAGTTAGTTACCTGTGAATGTCACTGCAGCTCTTCTGAAGGATGGCTCCTGAGCCACATCCATCACAACCCAGCAGCAAAGACAGCTGTCAGATGGAGCTTCCTGCTGACTGTTAGCAGTGGGAACACCTGGCTCCTTGGTGGGGGTCCCACTGCTGCACTTTGGGCAAGGAGGACGTTTGTCTCATTAGGATCCGAGAATTTATTGTTGGTCTCCTTCATCCTTTGGCAGTTTGATGCAAACAGAGACATCAGAGCAATGCTGCCCTGAGCATTCCCATTGCCTCCAGCACTCCTTCCATTCCAAACAGACCTGAGTTGCTCAGCGGTCACAGCCCCACTCCCTGCCCTGACCCTCAACCACTCCTTGGTGCTGAGTTGTAGGGGAAAGCCAGCTCTGCACTGAGCCAGGACGCCCTAACGCTTGGCCAAAGGCACCTGGATGCCAGGTCCGTGTCAATTAACGGCCATCAACACTGCTGCCACAACCAGTCCCTGCCCAACAAACCCAGGAAGAATGGCTCTCCTGCTGCCTCCTGGCAGGGCTCAGGCTCCAGAGCTCTGGAGCTCCCATGGGGTCAGGCCTGGCTGTTACACATCCGTCTCGATCCGCAGCCGCTCCATCCGCCGCACATTGCACTCCACGGCCACACGGCTGGTGATGGGTCGAGCACAGGCCTGGGGGAACCAGCCCCGCTCGCCGTCCCGCAGCCGCTCACCCCAGCACCAGCCTGGGAGGAGAATGGCACGTGAGCACACCTGGGAAGCACCCACGGCAAGAGGCCTCGGGGCTGCTGGAGCTCTGTCAGCCTTCCAGGCCCGGTATCGTGGGCCGTGGGCACAGAGCTCACTCCCTGTAATGCTGTGGAAGATCCACCGAGGCCGTGCCCCACCACAGCCGTGCCCCGAGGCACAGACCCCACTCACCATCCTCCTCGCCCAGCAGCAGCACCACATCAGCCTGCTGCAGGGAAATCTCATCTGCCTGCTTGGCCATGTAGGCACGGGTTATCTCCACTTGGCTCAGGTCTGCAGGGCAGGACAGAACCAGTTAAGAACATGGGATCGGTGCATCCCAGGCTGAGTGGGAGCCCATGCACGCGGCCATGCTGGCCCCTACCTCCACGGGGAGTGCTGTCAGGCTGCTCTCGCTCCCGGTGCATCAGCGCGGTGACCCAGCGTGCCCGGTCACTCCTGGCAAAGGATAAACCAACATGAGCAGGAAAGGCCACGGATGGCATCCTGCTGCTGGCAGGAGAGACCTCCCCCCAGGGATGGAGGCTTTCAGGACTCACAGTGTCTCTGCTGACAGCAGCACCTCCTCCCGCCGGCCCTCGCTGTCCCTCTCCATGGCCACACGCAGCAGGTGCCCGCCTGGCCGGCCGGGAGGAGGGGATGGAGGCTCTGTGGTCTCCATCTTCTCCACTGAGATTTGGTCCAGCATGGCGTAGTTCATGACGGTGTAGCTCTCCTCACTGCAGCAGGGACAGAAGGGGCTTCTCAGAGCTTCCTCCCCACATGGCATCGCCCCCAGGTGGGCTCTATCCGATGGCTTTGGGCCGTTCACAAGAAATGCCTCCCTCGGAGCCACAACATGGCAGCCTCGAGGTTTCCTAATGCTGCCTGGGGAAGCAAGACGTCAGCCCACCAGTCCTGTGCCAGAGGAAGGCCCTGAGCTGTACCTTTTCTTCTTGGTGATGATCAGGACGTCATTGAAGAGGAAGAGGTGGCAGACCCTGCCGGAGCCCTTACGGAAGATTCCTCCTTCCTCAGAGGAGAGCAGGTAGAGCTCACCCCGTTTCAGCAGCCAGCGGGAGGCAGAGATCAGGGGAAAAGGCTGCAATGGAGAAAACCTGAAGGAGCATCTGTCTCATACATGGCAGGTAAAGACAACTCAAGATTAGGTGGATGAAAACACCACAGCAACAGGCAGCTATTCCAGCCCACAGCCTGCTCAGCCCCACCGCCACGCACCCTCACCTTCTTCTTCCCGAACTCCAGCTGCTTCTGCAGAGTGTACAGCTGCTCTGTCCTCTCCATCGCACGAGCTCCTTCGTTGCAGTTCTTAACCAGCTGGAAAAACACAAGGGAGAATGGGTAGATGAAAGGAAGGATGGCACAAGTGTTGCTGGTGAGGGCCCCAATAAGACAAGTAAGAACTGTAGTGCACTCACCTCCATGGCAGTTCTGAGGCTGGGAAAGCACCAGTGGAAGATACAGTGGAGAGAAGGACAAAGGATGGGCCAAGGAGAAATGAAGAAAAGAGGACAAAGAGAAGGAAAAAACACCATCAAGTGAAAAAAAATGGGCAAGTGAAAAGATGTGTACCATCCCACAGCTATTTGCAGTGAGAATGTCAAGTGAACTGATGTAAGAAGGAAAAATAAGAGGGCAGAAGGGCAGGCTTGGGACCAGGGTGGTGAAACAGAGTGCTGGGAGAGAGGAGATGGGGAGCAGGCAGCCCTCCTCACCTTGCTGATGGCTTTCAGAGCTCTGGTGGCAGCTCCATACGCTGCAGTGCATGCTTGTGTTTTTTGACAGACTGTCTAGAATGTCAAGACAAGAGGCTTTAGTGATATTGCAAGACAGAGCGATGGCAGAGCAGCTGCTGAGCTGGGATCTGTGGTCAGAGCAGAAGGCTCTGGTGGCTCAGCAAACCAACACCTGGAAGCAGTTCCCCTCTCCAGAGGTGCCAAGCAATGCTGCTGTGTGACTTACTTACATCTAACAGCAGAGGAAGCCGCGTTACTCTCTGCATAGGGAGAATGAGAAATGATATCAGTGGCAGCCCTCCACATTCTGGTTTCCTTTCAATTTGTTTCAAGGCCTCTTTAAATAAGGGGTTTGTGTTTCTGGAATGGGACAAGAAATCTCCATTAACGCTGTTTTTCAGGTATCAAGGTTTTCCAGGGGATTCCCATGCGTGAGTAGCACAGTGCAGTGCTGCCTCTGGTGCTCAGCAACAGTGAGCACAGCTGGAGCAGCAGGCAATGGAAAAACAACTGGAAACATTGAGTCTATTCAAGGCTGGGGCTCAGCTGCACCATCAGCACACTCTGGGATGAGTGGCTTCTGCATGCACCCCTCATACACCCCACCTGCAGGAGCTCCCTGTAAGAGCCGTACTCACAGCAGCCTCTGCAGTGTCCTCTGCTGGTAGACTTCGTTGGAGCAGTAACTGATGTAGGGGTTGAAGTGCTTGGAGGCGTGCTCCTCCACAATGTCACTGATGTCGGGGATGAGGACGTTCTCCTGGTGTCGCTTCTCTAGGGCTTGGAAGAAGCTGAGGAGAGGAAGTCAGTCTCACTGCATGACTCACCAGGGCAGGACAGAGAAGATCTGCAGTTTATTGCAGCCCATCCTTCCCCCACATGCCTTTCTCTGTCTCACGAGCTCGTGTCCTTCCTCCTCCCTCACACATTTACCCTCAGGGATCACGCCCCAGCTCTGGCCTTTGCTTCATCTCAAGCCTTGCCCACATCCCAGCACTGCAGGCAGGTGGTGCCTCTGCAGAAGCACAGACTGGGTGTGAGGCAGCAAAAGCCTTCTGGTTTAGGAATTAAAGAAATCAATTGTCCAGAGCAATGCACAAGCTGCACAGCTCGGGGGGTTGCCTAAAGAGAGAAACAAACCGCAATGCACTTGGCCATGAACAGGCTCTGCTCAGACCATCCCAAGACACCACGTGCTCCCCTGAGCAGAACCCCTTGAACTCTCTGCTCTGAAATGACATTTCCACGCTGTGTGTGCTTCCCACGCCACCACAGCCAGTAGGCACAGCTGCTCCACACACACAGAGCCATGCCCAGGTTGGTGGCAGGGACACAGCACGTGCTCAGGGCTCACCTTGTCCCCTGCAGGGGGACAGGCAGCAGGCAGCTCACAGCCCCTGCATCAAGTTCCCCTCGCCCAGCGAGCTCCATCCCTGCTGCAGGAAGAGCAAGGCCCTGCCACCCCCGCCTCAGTTCTCACACAGCTGCAGTCCCTGCATCCCATCTGGGAATTCCCAGCTGGGAGCTTCCAGGAAACAGGAAAGCTCTCAGCACAGTGACAGGGAGCTCTGCAGCAGGCATGTGACCGGGCACTGCTATTCAAAATATTATGTGCTGCTCCTGCTGACAAATTCCTCAAGCCAAAACTGACCCAGCATCACGACTGTGCAACAACAAGGTGATGCTGCAGCACTACAGGAACGTGTGCTGGGTGAAATACAGTCAGGGGATGGATGTCTCAGCACTTCCAGGGATGCTGCCCCTCCATCAGAAAGCTGCAGAATCTACCGTCACAATGCTTCACTCACTTGGTGCTGACAGCCAGGATGTCACTGATGTTGGAGAAGAGGTGGTGGTGCTCCGTCTGGGTCATGGTCTCCTTCAGCTCCTCCGACTTCTTGAAGCAGCCCACCAGCACACTCAGGCTGTGCATGTAGGAGAACTCTGATGTGATGATCTCAAACATTGCCTGAAAGCAGCGAGGCAGGGAGATGCAGCACAGGAAACTGCATTATTACTGGCATAGCAAGGGCGTGAATTAAAAGCCAACTGCATCTCATTCACACCAATGATGCCCATCTGTTATTTAATAACAACTGTATGTTATTTACATTCATAATGACTGGAAAAGGCATATTCAGCATCCCCCATCCCACGCACTGCCTGGCATCAAGGACTTCTGCAGGACGTGCCCTCAGCCCTGGCACACTGTGTGCTCACCTCCTGCCTCTTGCGCTCCTCAGGCTTTATGGTCTTCAGCAAGTCTGCCTCCAGCACCTGTGGGTGAAACTCAGTGCAGAAAATGGCTCTGCTGGGCCTGCACAAGAACCGCATGGTTCTGCAGGTAGCAGAGCTGCTTCACAGGCAGGGATCACTCCGCATTAAACAGGAGACACATCCCACAAGACCAGACCTGCTGGGAGCCCGGCGTGTCCCAGCTGGCCCCAAAGCATCCCACAGCACAGTGCTGCAGGATGAGCTGCTCCCTACTGGGTGCCAGCTCTGAATTTAAAACACACGCTGCCCTGCTGCCTTTCAATGAGCGAGGCACCTGCTTGTGCCGTAAGGGCCTACTTGCAAGGATGGATGAGCAAAGGAATAATCATTAACAACAGTGAGGTACAGCCTGGCCCTCTCAGACCAAGCAAAAGACATAGGAAAGCAGGAGGTTGGCACGTGTACCTCTGGGAGCTGGCTCCAGGTGACCTGTGCGGGCCGATAGCTCCGCACCACGATGGCAGCACCAGGCAGGGATGGCTCCTCAGGGTTGGGCTCCTCCAGCAAATCCTCATCCGACTCATGGCTGACTGAGTTCAGCCCTCTCTCACGGATTTCCTGGTACAGCCGTGGCTCTGCGTGGGGAGAGGTGCAGAGTGAGCACAGCCTCCTGCAGCCCGCCTCACCCTGCTGGGACGGACTTTGCACAGCGCTGGTCAAGCAGCAGCTTGCACGTCCCCAGCAGTGTTTGCTCTGAGCAAACAGAGCCAGGAGTGTTCCAGCTGCAAGTGCGGCTGCGCCCTCCCCAGCAAGCAGGAATGCAGTGGCACACGTGCAGCAAAGGGACTGGATAAGGGGGAATGCACAATGACAGCACAGAGAAAAGGCCATGGGATGAGGGCAAGCGGCACTCACGGTCCTTGAATGAGCCGCCGTGCTTCTGCACCCGCTTCCGCCCGAGGTTTTTCTGCAGGAGGAAGAAGAGGAGCTGCCGCCGTGTTGCCCTGATGGCTGCAGAGCTCACACCTTGTGCCCCAGTGCCACCAGCTGCGTTCAGTGCCCTCGAGAAGGGGAGCAGCCCACACACACCGCCCTGCTCCCCTAGCCTGACTCTGAGCAGTTGTTTGCAGTGACTCAGCTCCAGCCCCGTGTTATCGGGGTGACCATCTCAGCAAGCTTGCCGCTGCTCGCTGCCATTCCCGTCTGTCTGCCCCACACCTGGACTTTGCCTGCCTGGCGCCTGGGTGCTGGCAGTGCTGCTTCACCCACGCCCATGCAGTGCCCGCAGGAGCCAGCCCTGCTTCTTGCAGAAGCAGATTCCAGGCCCTCTGTGAACCTAAGCAGCTGCTGGTGCCAGGCAGACTCCCAGGCTCAGCCAGCCCCACCAGCTCCATGCCAGCCATACAGCAACAGATGCAGGCACACAGCTCAGCCCACCCCTGTCCCCATCACCACCAGGCTCCATCCCTGCACCAAACCCACCTTGCTTCTGCCAGGGCTGCGGGCAGGCGGAGCGCTCCCCTCCTCCAGCAGTGGTTTCAGAGTAGGCACGGTGCTCACAGGCTCCATCTCCGTGCCCGTGCCCTTCATGGCTGCACGGTACGACATGTTCCTCAGGTTGCGTTTGAGCATCCCTCCTCCATCCTCCTCCGTGTCCTCCTGCAGTGTGACGCTGGGGACGGACGTTCGCTTCTGCCCCAAGCACGCAGCATCAGGGATGGATCCAGTGCTGGGGTTCCGCGTGGGGTTCTTGGTCTTGGTGGACACCGCCAGGCTCCGGGGGATCAGCTGCTGCGTGCCCACCTTCAGCGCAGCCGGGCTGTCGGTGCTCAGCACGATGCGGCGTGGCTCAGCCATGGGGAAGCAGCTCATGGCGGAGTCAGGATTGCGCTTGCCTGGAGGGGAGGTTGGTGCAGGGGGCCCGGATCTCAGTGGGTGGCAGCGGTACTCCAGGAGGAAGGTCTGGTCCTCGGCTGCTGATGGGCTGCGGGACATGGCAGCGGCACAGGGAGTGGAGAGCTGTGCAAGAGACAGAGAGTCAGATGGACAGACAGGGAAGGAACGCTTTCCTCCGCTAAGGTATCCTCATACAGGCATGGCACAGCTCACTGTGCTGCACGGGGAGCCTGGTGCAGCCCGCACTGCAGTCCCTGTGGTGCTCACTTTGATCATCGCAGCACTGCTGGGGACCCCCCCTTCACTCCTTGGGCATCAATCCTGATGGACCCACAGCCCAGGGGCAAAGCGGGCTGACGGATGCTCAGCCTCAGCTCCCACGGAGTTGATGGGGGCTCTCGGTGTCCCCACAGCCCCTCAGCACTCAGCCCTCTCTTCACTAGGATCTAAGCCTGCCCACCTCCTCCTGAGCCACACAGCTGAGCCCCCGGATAAACACCACATACAGCATTCTACTGCTCCATTGCATAACTCGAGTTAAAACTCGGGTTTAATTTCTCCAAACTGAGATCCCATTGTCCGCCACGCCTGAGCTACTCCCTTCCAAAGGCCACGCAGCAGAGAACAGCCCGGACCGGGACACATCTCCTGGCAGAGGGACAAAGCACCGCACCAACAAAACCCCTCTGATCCGACTCTTCTATTTCCCTGCGTTGGGTGGGGGACAGACGCTGGGGGCCGCCAGGAAACCCGCGGACGGAAGAAGCGCCACGTTCCGCCTTTCCCCCTCCCCGGCTGCACGCACAGCCCCGTCCCCGCAAAGGACCCGGAAGGATTTGCAACCAGCAGTGCCACCGCAGCCCCCCAGATGCATCCTCGGATCCCCTCCCCGCCCCATACCTCGGCCGTTTGGCAGCTGCAGGCGGTGCCGAGAACCCCCGAGGCGTCCACCCCCACGAGTGGGGTGGGCGGAGCTGCGGGACGGGAGGGAAATTCCTCCGGGTGGGGGAGCGGGGGCAGCGGGGCCGCAAGGCTGGGGCTGGAGGGAACCGCTCCGCCCCGAGGGCAGCGCGGCAGCACCCCGGGGTTACGCTCGGTCCCGGTTCTGAGCCCAACTGCGGTCCCCTTTTCCCCCGGGGGTCCCCGTGCCCCCCCCGGCCACAACCCCGCACCTACCGGCGGCCCCAAAGAGAGCGCGGAGAGGGGCGGGGCCAACGGGGGCGGGGCCACGTAGGGGCGGGGCCGAGAAGGGGGCGTGGCCAAGAGCTCAGCTCACCTGCTGCTGCTGCTGCTGCCATCCCCAGGACTGCCTCTGCCGGGTGGGGGTGATGATGGACGATGGACAAAATGAGATGCAAATCAGATTTAAAAAGGAAAGAAAGAAGAAAAAAAATAGAGATGTTTGCTGCTTTGCGACGTTTCAACAAGAATCCCATCCCCCAGATGCATCTCTCCCAGCCCCAGACAGGTTCTGTGGGTACCACACTCCCGGAAGGCACTTCACCAGCAGGCAGCATCACTGTCAGCTATTCCCCCATTGCTTCTAAAGGCAGCTGACCAGTCTCGGGTGTGCAGCCGGCCCAGGCTGTGGGGATGGGAGCTGCCCAGTGCCCCCCTGGGGCTGGGGGTGTCCCCTAGTGTCCCTTTTGTCCTGGGAACCACCTTTCCCCTGACCTCCCCTTTTTGCCCCCGCTCTGATTTTGTTCCCCATAAAAAAGGAGCCTTTTTCTCCCTGCTTTCCAGCAAATCTCAAATGCTCCGTAGATGACAAAGTCCCACTTGTCAGCAGTGCCCTTCTAACAGTTCCGTTCCCCTCCCCAAGCCCTGCCCAACAATCACCCCATTCTCAGCACTCTCTTACCCGATGGATGCTCTCCTTCCCTGCTGGTTCCAGGAGCCACGAGGCTGCTGCGCTGCACAGAGCTCAGCTGAGCCCCAAACCATCCCACGAAGCACCGATGCACGGAACAAGGATCCAATCCTCCGGGCAGCACGCCGACTTCCTGAAGCAGAGAGCATTAATCAGCTTTGCAGCACACACCATTGGCCCCAATGCCCCCCCAGCCCCATCCTTGCTTACCTTGCAGCAAAGCATCCACCGACCCCACGCCGATGCGTCGGGCGACAAACAAAGCTCACGGGACCATGGCTTATAAAAGCACACAGGTTTATTGCATATCAATCTCATGTATAAATTCATCGTAGCATTGGAAAGATTACATTTGGTATACATTCCTATTCTACAGCATTAACCTCAAAATCAGCTTTTCCTAGTCATTGTTTTAAAGGAATTTCTCTACACAAGTACATTTGTCTTTTATCACAAGCATCAAAAGGAAAATTTGCAAAAAATCGCTTCTTCAAATTATTTTCTACACTTCATCTCTCTTTTTTCATTATGCTCCCAACAAAGCGATTCCATATTAATTAATAACTGCCAACACTTCTTTTTTTTTTGTTTTTTTGTTTTTTTTTTCCTTCTTCCTGGGCAGTTGGAGGCTTCTAGCCTCAGACCAACCATCTAATCACATTTACAATAAGTGCATCTACGGGATTTGTTTCTTTTTAATAAAAATCTCACAAACAGACACCATAATGACCGCTAAACACAAGTCATGCACAGTTTACTTATAAACATAACAGAAGCAATATACAATCAAGAATGATATGGAACAAGCACCATCCTCTTTCTCAATGTTTTTTAAACATTATGTGAAAACCAGACATTTACAATTGATTTTTTTTTTTTAAAAAAACAACACTATACAGCCCTAAAGGAAAAAAAAAACCCAAACAACTAAATTATATCCGTATTGTAACAATGGGAAAAGGAATGACATCGGATGCACAGATTCATGATTCTCGCAAGCACAATATATATATGTTTTAAATTACATCTTCTGCAGGCTGGAAATGACATCAGGGCAAACACCTCTGGCTTTGAAGAGAGCAACGAGAACGTAAAATACATTGAGAATTACTGTCAGAATTACTTTGTTCACGTGTGAATTGCACATTTGGAGAAATCAAAGCTGCCTTTTTTTTTTTTTTTTTTTTTTTAAGCTTTTTCATTCTTTTTTTTTTCTTTTTTTTTTTCTCTCTTCCCCTTCCCTCCCCCCCCTCCCAAAAAAAAAAAAAAAAAAAAAAAAAAAAAAAAAAAAAAAAAGTGGTAATAAGAATAAGAAGAAAAGAGACCGAAAATAAAAATAAAATAATAATTAAAAAAAAAAACCAAACAAACAAAACAAAACCAAACGAAACAACAACAACCTCGGAATCATTTAATCACAGTATCACTCAACACGACAGGAAAGGTTCATGGCTTTGTGACCAGCGCCGGCAGCCGGCGCACAGTACAGCACAAACGGAACCAAGTCAGTAGGTCGGGGCCGGCCGGGGGCTCACCAACATCCAGTGCTTTGATGCTCAGAGTCCAAACAGGTTCACCTCGTTGTGCAAGTGCTTTTCCAAACGCTTTTTGTAGGGAGGGAACAAGGAGCCGTTTCGCCAGAGCGTCTGCTGAGAGTCTTAAGTGCTGAGCGGGGAGAAAGGGAGAGAAAGCTTCCACCGCGGGTCCTCGCAGCGAGACGGGAAGCCAGCTGTGCCCCCGGGGAGCAGCCCTGGCACCAGGGACTGCTTTTGGCCAAAGCCTCGACAAAGCCTACGGGTCGGCTACACGTCCCGAGTGCAACGAATGAGCGCTATGAGATCAACGGCAATACAGCGAGGCTTCCTCTTTATTTAACTGGGGGAAGATGAAAACTCGTCATCAGTGCTAACTTGGGGGGAGTCGGGAGGTCCTGAACACAAAAAGAGGCACTGGCTCGAGAAAACGGGAGGAGGACTGGATCAGGAAATACAAACAACGAAAGGAAAGGAGAAATCATTTCATGATTCCCCAACCTTCTGCTCCTCACGCCCTGCGCGCGGCCGGGAGCCCCGAAGCCCACAGCGCAGCGCCGCCCACCCGGCCCCTGCTGAGACCCCCAATGGGCAGCGCTGCCTCTGCAGGGCTGCGTGCTCCCCTGCCTGCTCCTGCTTTCCAACCCACCAAGGAAATAAATAGAAAGCTCAGGCAAACGCTACCGGCTCGCCAATGGAACGCAACCAATGATTGTCTGGAGAACGGGCAGCAAGAACAGCAGGAGCCCGCGGGCGCTTGGCACATCACCACCTCTCCATCCTCCCTCATACAACACACAACCTCAGTTACACCATTTTGGTCCTTCACTACGTGCTTATATTAACATTATTTCTTCACAATAATGATATATCTAATGCAAAAAAAAAAAAAAAAAAAAAAAAAAAATACTGTTAAGGAAGAAATAAAATAAGAAAAGAATTAGCAAAAAAATTACAAGTTATTTACAGATTAAAAGAAATTCCAACCGGAGAGGAAACAGTTCTTTATTATTTCTGTTGCCCCGGTGGGAATGGTGCCCAGGGTGGGACGGGGCCAGCTCTGTGCTCTCAGGACCGGGTGCTGTGCCACCACCAGCACAGCCTCGTGCCAACACAGGGAGCAGCTCGGCTGGGCTCAGGGCCTTGGGCACTTTCACAGAGGGATGTGGAAAACCAAACAGGGAGGGCAAATTTTCTCAGAAAATACGCCGGTGCTGCTCATTTACCTTCTGCTCCTTCTATACTAAGGATATCCCGGATGCTTTCCTCCAAGAGCCATCTAAAAACATCCTGCTCTTGGTGCTGACAGCACGCTATGAAGGGTTCCTAGCATAACCCCCACTTTGTGGGCAGTCGTTTCCTTGGCTTCATTGTGCTGGGATGAGGCTCCCATGTTGTGTTCCTTCACCCTGCACTGAGCACACCACCAATCCACAGGCAGACAAACCACACGCCGCCCCTCTGACAGTGGCCACGAGCCCAGTTCTGCAGTTCCTAACCAGACCCAATGGGGAAAGTGATGGGAAAACCAATGGGAAATGTTCTTCCCAAGCTGGCTGGCTCTGAGCACGGTGCCACCGCACCAACTCTTGCCCAATCCTTGGAACTTTTCAACTGACGACGCTGCAATTAGCAAATTCTCAGGACACACACCCTTAACATTACCCAGACAGCCAGTGCTGTTCTTTGCACCAGGTCTGTTTGCTTCCCAGGCTGTGCTCCATTTCAGCAATTCGCACTGCAGAGCAGCACAAACAACGGTACTTCTGGAAGTTGTTTTGGGCCACTGAACAAAAGGAGACTTGGAAGAGATTTGAAATCACTCATAACATACCTGCAAGCAATTCTAGAGTCAGAGAGACGATTCTATTCTTGGCCATGTGCTTGAATAGAGGGCACAGAGCCCTGATGCTGCTGAAGCTAGGACATCTTCCTACAAAAACCAATGGCCGCAGCCATGCACAGCCAACCAACCACCCACCACAACAGCACGAGCAGGATGTTTCTTCTACAATTCCCAACCACCACCACCACTGAGAAGATATCACTGCAGGAAACAACACAGTGGCTGCAACCATCCTGACCACCCCGGGCCACCTTCCCACCCCGATGGCTTTTCACCCTCCCCATGAGACCCAACAGCTCCAGCACAAGACCTCGGGGCAGTGCAGACCAAGAGCCATTTCTCACTCCAGAGGCTCCAGGTCCAAGCAGAGCTCCGTCTTGAGGCACCACAGAGATGGAGAGTGCTCTCCACACAGCACTGCAGGCATGGACATCCAGCTGAGGACCACCAACCACACGTTTCTGTGACCCAACAACAGCCCGACCCCAGCACTGCTGCAGGCTGAGAAGCTCTCAGCTGGGACACTGCGACTCACATTCAGGAGCTTTGCACAGAAAAGGTGTTTGGCCAGGAACTGAGCACGGGACAGCATTTCAGTGGGAGTACACAACTTCAGGTCCTGTTATAGGTCAGCAAAACGGGCTGGATTACCCTTCCCTGGTGCAATTCCAGTGGCTCTGCCAGAATTGCACCAGGGACGGGGTCTCCCTGGGCTCCGTTTCCTTGTTGCCTCCTTATTCAACTGAGCTGAAGGGATGAAGCTGCCCAATGGTGTCAGGCTTCCATCTCCACGAGGCCTTTGCTGGCTCAGTGATCCCCATCTTGTAATGTCAGGGACTGATATCGGATCACGCTGTAGCAATTCGTGTCTTGCTTACGCTGTTCCTATTTTGGTGAAATCCTGGGGGCTGCGTCAGGGTCA